CCTGCCAAGCAACAAGGCTGCAGAGGCCATGGTGACAAGGCAATGCTGGGCTTCAGCCCTCTCCTGCGCAGTGCCGTAAGCAGAGCAGGGCAGGTGTGATGCTCCTCTCCTTACTCAGCAAAGGTCTTGTCATTAAGTTCAAGGGGTTTTCATTTCAAGAGATTTGTAATAGGAACATAGTACAAATATTATCTATTAACAACAGCTCAGTTTTGCAGTGGCGTTTGGTGCAGAGTTTATTTTGAACACCAAAGCCAAGACACATTGTTGGTGTCTCCATCCTTGATTTCCACAGATGGGTGCACACAATCTTACACAGAAGCACCTGAGAAGCTTCTCACAGGCCCAGCTAGGAGCAAAATACAAAATTTAGGTGATATCCTAGATAATTCTCCCTGGAGGCAGAAGTACTTATCAGGAACATCAGTTGGGCCATATTAGTCACATCTCCTATGCCATTCCCAGGTGGAGGAAACACAGAGGTGATCTGTGGCGTGCAACACTCCCTGCTCTCAGGGCAGGGACCCAGCTGGGCACATGAACATCTCTGCTGTGCTCCTGCTTGTACATGGAAGCAGAAGTGCAAACACGCCAGCAGCATTTAGGAAATAATTTTTTAAATTGTTAGTTAGGACAGGACTTTCCCCTTGACTGGTAGCCCAGCGACTTCAAGGAAAGACGTAAAATATTCAAGACTAACAAGTACAATTAGGCAACATTTTCCAGTGACCTCTGGTTTCTCTATCAACTTTTCAAAAGCTTGACTTATTCAAAGGATGCGCCATTTCCGTTCCTTCAGACACGTGCTCTTTCTTTTCCTCCTTACCTTGTCACTGTTTCTGTATTTGCCCCATTTCTTCAGCATCTTTAGCCACTTGTCCACGCGTTCGATCTCCTGCTGTTTTTGCTGGTGCAAGGTAAGAAGACAAGACAAAATTAAGAAAAAATGCCCCTGAAGATACATCCTGAAAACACAAAACTTCATTCTCTTTAAACTTCTATGCAAAGACCTCACATTGGGGAGGGGAATAATCCGCAGAAGCTTGCAGGATCTGATAATTTCAACCCACAGTAATTGAAGCAGCATTGGTAAACATGACGAGATACACAGGCTTAACGCAGAGAAAGCATTTCCAAGAGGAGTATTCCTTGACAACAAAAATCTTTGCAGGTTCAGCTGGGCTCAAATCATATCATCATATCAGACTGGCAAATCAAATCAAAATCATACCATCATATCAGACTGGCAGAAGTGAGATACTCTAACAGAGGACACACTCCCAGCTCAGGGCAGATGAGGATGGAGATGACAGTTACCTACAATCTCCACTGCTTTCCCACACACATGCAAACTCCTTTTCAAGCCGCAGCTGCTGAGCACTGTCAAAGCAGATGTAAAAGCCCAAAATTGCTTTAAAAGGTGCGATTTCAGTTCAGGAGGGGAGATGCCTGACTCCATAAAAATAAAAGCTCCAACAGCCAGACATGGCACGGAGTTCCCGCTTCCGCGCGAGCAGCAGGTACCAGCAAGTGCTGGCTGCTTCGCTCATGCTTACACAGTCATTTCCTCAAAAACCGTCCCCTCCCCAGCCAGTGTGACATGGATCCAACACCCAGGACAACAGAGCTGGCAGCTCTCACCTTCTCCTCCAAGGCTGTGCGGGTCGGCAGCTCCTGCTCACTGGAAAAGCAAGGGGTCACCAGTTACTACTTCGTGGGTAAGAAAGGGCGCGGAGAAGCGCGGGGTGCGGCAGGTCAGGGACCACCTCGGGCACCCAAGGAGATACGACTCAGGGGCCTCATGCCTTTCCTACAGCTGTCCCTGACAAGGAAGACACAGAAGGAGGACCAGCCAAAACCCCACCACCCCATGAGAGCTGCTGGGGGGTAATCAAGCATGGGACATTGCTGGAAATCCTGGGCATAAAGCTCCTCTTCAATACACACGTGATCAGCAGTTAAAAGGAGAAGGGGGATTTCTGGACAGCAATTGCTTAGAACTCCCTCCTGCACATGAAACATCTACTATTATAACTTCTGTTCAGATTTGGAATAAAAGTAGTTCTTTTAAGCATTCTTCCCAGGCACAGGGTGTGCATCTAATTCATCTGCGCCTTGCTTAGGATGGAGATTTCCTAAGGGATCCGAGAACAATCAGATATCTTGTCTCATCTCTTCCTACACCTCCCTGAATCATCAGATGCAAACACAAGAACCTCTCCTTCTGTGACACACCACAGGCCTCCACTGAGGCTTGCACCTTCTGACACCGGGCTCGTGATGGGAAACCATTTCTGAGCCTTGCCTTGCAGCAGATTCAAAGCATCAGAGCATCTGAACATGTTTGGTTGAGGGAGAAGCTACATCTAGTCTTTCCTTCTACATTTGGGATCGATCAAGCCAAGCCACAGAGGAGCTTATAGGGAAGATGCTGGGTCTGCCATGCTTGGTGCAGATGGATGGTCCACGCAGACACGCAGGTCAGGGAGGACAGGAGAGGGCACGAGGACTTACTGCAGGAATCCAAACCGGTCTGTAACTTTATACAAAGTAAAATTGGCATCTTCCCATGGGTCAATCGGAGCTCCTTCCTGCCTGCCCTGAAAGCAGAGAGGACACCGGTGAGCTAGCCCCAGCATCGGGAATGCCCCAGTGCCCACATCCCACCCCCAGTGCCCACTCCCACATGCTAGAAGGCACAGAGCCAGGAGACCAAAACTCACTCTAAAGAGACAAATACAACACAGGCAACAGAAAAATGCACAAGTTCAGCCTATCCAGCATCTCTGGTGTGCCTCTGCTATGGGCTGGGAAGGGCTGTACAGCAGAGAAACCAGAGCTGTCGGGCATAAGCCATCCTGGTGGTAAGGGAACACTGAAGCACTAGAAGCCCAGGACCTTTTGGTATCTGTGCTGAGCACACACAGGATCCACAAGGAACTCTGGGGACATGGTGAGAGGGGATGTGCAGGTAGGGAGAGCTGGCACAACACCTGATGGCATGAGAGTTACTGAGGCCATGCCTGCAGGGAGGCAAAAGTTCTTATCGAAGCATTCCTAATCAACTGAATAGCTTCAGCCTTAGTCAGCATGTTGGGGAGAAACACGAGGTTGGTACCTTCTCATACTTGGCAATGATCTCCGCTTTTTCCTGGGCTATTAAAGACTCTATATCTTTCTTCATGTCAGAAGCTGTAAGGTGAAAAAAAAAGAAAAAAAAGAAGGGGGGAAAGGAGATAAGTAAACATGTACGCAGCATGGGAAATATTTCGGGAAAGTGCTAATAGAAAAAGCCTTTGCTGACAACTTCAGCTTCCAGCCACATCCCATAGCTAAAATTGAGCCAAGGTTGAAAAGCCCCTGCACGAAGCATGCATGGAGCTTTCCTGCATGCAGCAGGACTGCCAGGTCCCCGCCTTCTGCACAGGGACACAACCGCATCTGAGCAAGGGGGAGTCTTGCCTGCTGGAAAACAAGATGCTGTGCCTTTGCTCTTAGGCACACACGTGCCTGTACAAAAGACACGGTGCTTTTAAATCGAGCCGCACAAACCTGCCGCAGAGCCCTTGCACTGCACATGTCACACGCCAGCTGGGCGCTGCACAGCACAGCGTTCGTGTGGATGATGGCAAACTACCATGCTCTTGCCCTCAGCTATGAATGTGACACCATGAGATGCTCTGTAGGGGCACTCGAAGGCAGATTTAACATCAAAGGAGAAACTAAAAGGAGAAGTTTTTGCCTACTGAAGCATGCACACACGAAGTAAATTGGCTTCTAGATGATTACCTTCTATACACACCCCCAAAAGAAAAACAACACAGCAGCAAGAGGACCACAGAGTTCCCATCTACTCTGAGACGGACTAGTCTTGGTCTAAACAAGACCCAGTCTCTAGCTCCCTGAGGTCTGTGTCCACTGCTCTGCTTTGTCCCATACACATACATATGAGCAAGATAACCTCCCATGTCAAACACGACTTGAGCATTGTCTTGTCAGCGCGCAAAGGAGCATCCTTCCTGTCAAGCTGTAAGTAGCTTCTCGCTGTTCATCCAAGGAAAAGGTTGATCTAGCACACTGAGGAGAAAACATGGGCAGACAAAATCTCCAGGGAACCACAGTCCCCAGAGGTGGCTGCAAGGAAGAGAGCAGTGGGACGGTCTACCAAGTCCTCCTCCCCCGAAACTCCACGGAGCCACGACCAACCCAGCTCAGACCACACAACAGCTACGACACCAGCTAAAGCCAGGCTACTGCAAGCCACGTTACCCAAACCTTCAGGTTAGGGGAGTGATGCTGCTGCAGCGCAGTCTCAGCCGTGTCTGTCCCCAGGCACGGAGGATGGCAGTAGAGACAGGCACCCAACAGGGATGGCCTTGTTTCCAGCCCACTGACCACATTCTCAAGCACTCTGTAAATGGACAAACTCCAGCCAGTCCCAGAGCTATGCATCTTCCTGGTATTTCCCCCTTGCTCCCCTTCCCCAGTACTTGGTTGCCTTTTATTTTTTTAAAAAGCTTTTTAAAATAGTTTTAAGTTTTTCCTATACTTCTGTTACGAATTATAAACCCTACTCGGTGCAGACAGGATAAGTTCTGGGAAGTCATGCTATCACCTACATGGCTTTGTCCTTCAGAGTCCTGCTGACTTGCCAGCAGTCCCAGATGGATACTATGCATTTCAAGAAGAGCAAGGTAAAATAATTTTACTCCACAGTTGCAAGCGGCTTAGCATTTGGAAAAGTTTTTGAACACTTAAGAGCATGAAGCCTCTTAGAATAGCTTGTTATAGAGGCAGACTGCATTTTGCCTTCACTAAGGAGGTTTTGCCTATTTTGCCTGCTGTAAAAAGATTCATCAGGGTTGGGGAAAAAACTGTTGAGAGCCACCACAGCCTTAAAATATCTTCTCCACTGTCACATTGCAAACAATCCAGTGATTTACCCAGAACAACTGGAAGCTGAACAACTTCAACAATACAGTCCAGAGGCTTCTTGTAGGGCTTGAAAGGAGCTCCTCAGAGCATCTGGGATCCCCCTAGCAGAACAGATCTGAAAGCCTCTCACAAGAAAATTTGAAAAGCCTTTTGAAATAAAAAAGAGCAGGTTGACTCCCGTGTTGCATCTAAAGCTGGAAAAGTAAATCCTGTGTTGCTAAGCTCTGGGCCTTTCCCAAAGTGCTGGTGAGCACCTCCTCACAAAGAAGACGAGCATTGCTACCCACAGCTAAAACACTGCGCAATAGCTGCTCAAGAACAAGTTAATTCAAAGTTGCCACTGCAGCTCTCTACTAGACACCAGGACCCATTGTGACCTCCCTTCAGGAGGAACCTGAAGAATTCTTGTCACAGGACATGCTACCTCTGCTTCTGGGTGAAGCTGCATCTCAGTGAGCCACCGTGCAGCCGGCTGCGGCAGTGCTTGGCCCTGGCTGAGCCAGAGCAGCCAAAGGCATGGCACTTGAGATGATCTGAAAAATGCTATTTTCCCTTGAGGGGAAAAAACGAGCAATAAAAAAAGAAAATAGAGGCGATACAATGAAGAAAAGCATCAGTGCTCTCTCTTGACTGCACCTTCAGACACCCCTAAGCAATTATTTGTCTCATCTTACGAACTTCTTAATGCAACCTGCTCACTGCCACTGTGTATTTCAGGCGTGGATGGAGACAGCTGGGAGATCCATCCTTCCCTAACTCTTCGTTTCAAAAGCAGCCATTGGTCCCGGTTGCCAGCGGTGTGATAGAAATATTAAATCACACGCAGTGATCAGGGCTACCAGGGCAGCTCTTCTGCCACACATCATCAGCCAACTGCTTTACACTCATCTATACAGACACAGGAAAAAAGCAAAACTCTTCAAATTCATGGCAGGAATGGTTGAATCTTTCTCCATTATTGACTCCACAATCAAAGCAGAGCAAGGATACAAACATTAAAGTGTATTTTGTTCTAATTTTTCCAAGCTGCAGCTCTTACATCAAATGTTCCCATGAATTTTGCTCAATACATGTTAATCACAGCTTCATTTTTCAAAGTAGCAAGGTCTGAGTAACTGTCTCACAATGTCATCTAATATATCTGCATCTTCTCCTCACGTTTTTCTTCTGCGAAGTTTAACTCAAAGGCTCCCCCACTTCTGACGTCGTTTTTTGGTTGTTATGGAGCCAAAGAATTCAAATGAGGTCCTTTATGTGCTGCTAAAAATACAAATATTCTGCAGACTGGAGGGAAAAATAAATTGTACATCAAATTAAATGGGCAATTTTTCAAGGCATTTACAAAGTAGAAGTTATCTCTGACCATGCTCTGTAATAGAACAACCAGAGGGAGAGCAGCTCGGTAACATGGGAGGGTTTACACAACAGAAGACAGCAGCAAGACCACATATATTTTGGCATCCGCCTCTGTGAAAGCCTCTCTGCAGCCAGGAAAGGCAGACTGGTGCAGAGGAGCCAGTTTCACATCTCATGCCTGGAATGTGCACATTTTCTCTTTCTACCAAAACAGTGCAAAAGTCCAAATTTAGGAAAAAAACTTGAGAGCAGAGAAAATAGTTGATGGCAGTGGGAGGGATGGAGATGGCAAGCAGCTGCACTGGCCTCGGCATCTGACTGCAATACTGCTGCTTTTCAGAGTACAAAGGCAATGCTATGCTCACTAGGTGGTTTTCAAAGTACACTGGAGATGGCACAGAATATAGCTTAGCTCTGTAACACCTATGTTGACTATAGATATTGAATATGGATAATTTTATTATTTATTCTGTGCATACTTGCACTCCAAAGTAGATTGACACCATGAAGTTATAGAATTTGCTCGAGGGAAAGGACACCTTGCGTATGTGAAAACTACTGAGACATTTAGTTTAATACAGACATTTAGTTTATGAAGTTTGACAAAACACATCATTCTGCCCTGATATAAATAGGCTAGCTATAAATATGAGTACCTGCCATGCTTGTCTATATACCTATATAAGATTGAAGAATTTTTTTTTTTTAAATATACTACTCAAATGGCTTTCTCAAGCCTGCCACCCAATTCGCTCCTCTGAGTACTGTATTTTCTCAGCAAACTGTTTTTTTTTCCATGATGAACACACAAGGTAAAGGAGCTATGAACAGGATTAGGAAGAAAATGTGAAGAATGCAAGAACAGTATTAGACACATTTGCCAGGATATAAGTAACAGAAAGCCTCAAGCCATGCACACTTAAATTCAGCTGGTAAACAAAGTTATCAACTAGTTTCTTTTAAAAAGAATGAGTTGAAAAACTCTACCATCTGCCATCTCACACTAAAACTTGCAGCTTACGATTTAAGGAAGTAAAAATTAATCCCAGCAACAGTAAGCCTAAAGATGCTTAAGGAAAATGCACGCCACTGCCAACCCGTGCTGGACA